TTCATTAGAATGTGAGCTGCCAGGGGGCAGGGACTCAGCCCTGTGTCTTTATAGCTGTTTACTGTGTTCTTAGAACTGTGTCTGGCACATACAGTTACTCAAATATTGTCAAATCAATAATAAAAATAAGAGGAGGCATGTAGTAACTCACTTGATCTCCAAGACTATGGTTATCCCTGTATTAGGTAGAAGACAACAGGGGCACAGACAGTTCAAGGAACTTGCTCAAGACTACACAGCCCAGATAGAAGGTTCAAGGATTCCCATGCAAGTACTTTGGCTCCAGAAATCAGGTCGTTAGATGCTAAGCTTTACTGCCTCTCATGAGTGAATGAATGATTAGTTAAAACAGATTTATATGAGCTATAAAAGTATACTTAATAATCTATTTCAAAGTAAATGGTTAATAAAAATAAATTTCATAAATAATGAGGTAATATTTTTCTCTTCCTAAGAAAGGACAGTTAATGATTAAGACAGGTATCTGGAAAAATCTTAAAAAAAAAACAGGCTCAGATTCCTGGAAGATACATTATTATAGCATCATATATCAACTACTGGTCCATAAATAATATTGGGTTTTTAAAAGCTAGTAAATCTGTCTGATACGTGTTTCAAACAGCATGTTACACAGCTCTGTTATTATCCTCACAAGATATGCCTACGTCTTATAGAAGACATTATAATAGTAAACAGATGTTTATTTTCATCACAATTTATTTGTTGGTCTAAAAGCTCAGTTCAGTGTCTAAGAACGATAAAATAGTTGGAATTTGGAAATATAGTTGAACTGGAATCAGTCTTTAACCAGGTTCAGCCTTTTAGAACATTTGCCTAATACTGAACAAATGTCTGGGCTTTTTCTTTCTAATTTAGTACTTGGTCTGAATAGTGAGACTGAATTAGACCATCAACTTGTTATTGCTAGGCTTATATTTTAAATCAAGGGATGGACAGGCTGCAAATATTGGGAAGCAGTCTGTGGACAGGGGAAAAGGCCAGCAGCATGGAGTTAAATGAGCTGAATTCTTTCCAGAGTCAGGAAAATTAAAGTGGTTTGAAACCAAATTTACCTAATAATGAAAGTAATTTGTGTATTTTAAATATTAATCTGTTTCATTCCTGTTCAAATGTTGGCTTTTTTTATTCATACTGTTAATATTTCTAGCTATAAATTTTTCACAGTTCCCTCTCCATAACCAGAATAATGGGCTTTCTCCACTTTCAGAGCATTTGTAGACTGCTTGGCCCTCTCTGCAGTCACATGCAATTCCTAGTGAAGATGACGAATGTTTGTGACAGCTACACAGGTGATGAGTTAGATGTTGATTTTGAACTTGTTTGTTTTCAATAATAGCACCTTTAAATGTGAATATTTATGCCTCGATAAGAAATATGTTCAAAGGAAGTACTGACTGGAAGTCCACTGGACTTTCTGAGATTGAAGTGCTTATTAGGACATCGGTAGATGCTGAGGATGGAAATAAAGGTTGACTTTGGTTCAATGAGACAGGTAGACAGAGGTGACATAAAAAGTTTAAGTTATTGTGATCAAGTTTTTTATTTTCTTTCCCTTTCCTATCATTTCCCCACATTTGATCATTTGTATTTTAAAATTTTTTATTGTATTTTTTTAATCCTTGCCCAAGGACATGTTTCTGTTGATTTTCAAGAGAGAGGAAGGTGGGTGGGGGGAGATAAAGAGAAACATTGATTTAAGAGAGAAACATCTATTAGTAGCCTCCCATACATACCACAACAGGGGAGCAAACCCACAGCCTAGGCATGTGCCCTTACCCAAAATTGAACCAGCAACCTTTCAGTGCACTGGATGATGCTCCAACCAACTGAGCCATGTGGCCAGGGCTGTCATTTGTATTTTATGCTTGCCTTTGCTGTGGTATCACCTCCTTTGTGACAGGACTGTGCCTTGCCTTTAGATTTGAAATAGCATGGCTTGGTGAATAGGCACGGTTTACATTGATGGTAGGCAGGGCTGCATGCACAAGTGTTTCTACTTTAGCTTTTATCCCAGATGTCTCTTCTGATGTAACATTTTCTTACTTTCCCCTTGACTTTTCATTTGAAAACTCTTTCTCAGTTATTCATCCAATTACATATTTAAAAACATGCTTTGCATCTCAGGTGCCTTAGGATGGTGACATGGCTCCTTAAGGAGTTGTAAGCCCCAGGGAGGTGTTAGACAGATAGAAAGAACAGAAATTATAATAATTCCAAGTGGTAAGACCTGAGGTAAAACCATTTGATAGAAAATTTTAATCTTTTAAACTATTTTATCTTAGAAATGCTAATACACATGAGGACGTGTGTATCTATTTGGGTCTTATATGTTCACACACAGAATATACACATACATGCACACATATACATATATAAAGAGTAAAAACTCTTGGGGCTGTTTGGATATTAGTAGATGAAAATTTATTTATAATGTGATCTTTGCTTAATGAAGAATTTATGAAGATCAGGTTTCTGAGTGTCAAGGTAGAGCTTTATATTTTTGAGTCAGAGGTACTCACATGCCTGTGGAGACAGTTATTGACACAGCATACCAGTTTTTGGAGTGTTTTTTTTTTTGAAGATATAGGGGTATAGAAAGCTTCCTTGCCATTTTTGTGTTCACCAGCTGAAGCAAATATGAAATCCAAGCATATGATTTAGTGCACAAAGAAATAATGGAGATAGAATTGATTATCATCCACCAGTAAGCCGTAGAGTTTATTTTAGTCTAAAATTTAGTTGCCCCTTTGTGCTGACTAAGCGTTTCTTTGCATACTGCACTTTTATTGTGACAGAAGTTGGTCATAAGTCTAACTTGGCATCTTGGCTAGGAAAGTGAGAGACTACCTTTCTTCTGACATTCCCTGACTAGGTGCAATACCTGGTGACGTCACTTACATACAAGGTGAGGCCAAAGTAGGATTACAGTTGTCTGTATGGAAAATAATACAATAATACAATAATTAATAAATAATAATACAAGAATAAACTCTGGGTGTCACATACAAGTTTAAACCTACCTTTGCCCACCCTGTATTTCCTATAACTTGTTTGGGAGGAAAATTTTGAGGTTCATTCATTTTTCCTCGAGACATTTTAAAACTAAGACATGTTCTAACTATGTTAAAGGGTTTTTAAAGCATGCAAGTAATAACTTTTGTCATCCTGGCATGAATATTTTCATTTTTCTGGTTCCTTTGTAGTCTCTCTTCATATATGAATTTGTTATACATCGTTGGAGTCATGTGTTTTCCCACTTAACATAAAGATCCTTCCATTATTATAAAGTCTTCATTATGATAATTTCAGTTGCTACATAATAGCTCATTTGCTACTTATTTTCTTACAAAACTTTTTTTAGTATTTGCTGTTTCTTTTCTATCTAGTTCATATTAGCATGTTCCCATAATTATTTGAAAAATTTATGCAAATGTTAATTTTTTGTTTTCTTCACAGAGTATTTGTTCTTAAACAGTCCCTCATGAATATATATAACATTTATAGCAATATTTTAAGCGACAGTGAAAACTACTGCATAATTTAGACCTAACAGTATGAAGGCCCTGGAGTATCTTGGGTCACTGTTAATTCAGCCATTAGGGTTTTTTTTTCCCCCTCTAACATGCTGTGTTGTTAGTCTGATTTAACCTTTGATTACTGGTTTTGCATTTCGTATTTGTACATGGAAGTTAAAATAAATGCTACATAACATAAAGAAATGAGGCTTATTTGATATCTAACTCCAAAGATTTATATTAAAACCATTTTTCTCTTCTTAAATAATAAACTTCTATGAACTTTATGTCTAATATGGAATATTACTGCACTGCATTAGAGTAGTGATATTTTAAATATTTAGACATTTATTTTATCTGTAATAGTTACCAGGAAATAGGATAAAACACAGAATATACTAAAGTTTGTTGGGGGAGGTGTTCAAGCATATTAGGTATCTGACTTTTGGCTTGTAATAACTTGAAATATAATGAATAGTGCTTTACTTCAAAGCTAACATTCATAGCCTTAAAAGTGTTAATGTTTTTCTGTGTATATGTGTGCATGTTTATTTAACCATAGTTGTGTCTCATTTCTGAGTTTTAGTTCCTCCTATGTTTATACATTTTGAAATCCCATTATTATGCTATAACTATTGTTGCTTGAATACATAAGGATTATATTTCTAGTATTTATATTCCAAACTCTTTGTTATCATGGTGTTTTGGGGTTTTTAGGGAACTTTAAAAAATGTTATTTTCATGTGAGGCAAACAGGATATTATATCTTCTTTTTTAGCCAAAGTGTTTTATTTTCCACATGCTACTTGTGGTATATATACAACAAAAACTATTTTTAAAAAAGTGGATTTGGGGCTCATTTATCTCTCTAGGTTACCTTTAATTTATTATTTAAAATGATTGCATTTATTCATTTTTAGAGAGAGGGGAAGGGAGAGAGAGAAATGTCAATAGGTTGCCTCTTGCACACCCACAGCTGGGGACCTGGCCTGTAACACAGGCATAAGCCCAGATCTAGAATCTAACTGGAATCCAGCTGGAATCAAACCAGTGACTCTGGTTTGTGGGACCACACTCAAACCACTGAGCCACACCAGCCAGGGCACAACAATAACTATTTTGATGCCTCTGAGTGCTCTCTGACTACTTCCCCTGGGCTGTTCCCTTCTAGTTACCTTTGCAAATAGGGAAATGTCAGGTCAGCTCCAGGTGTCACCAAAGACCCTTCATGGAGGTGTTCAGTGCTGTTCAGTGTCTGATGTCTGGGAGGTAGAGATGGTGTGTTGGATTCAGCCCAAATTCTTCATTTCTATTAGCTCCAGAAGAGAAGAAAAATGAGAATAATGCAAAGAGTAAAATGTCAGGTCTCTAAACATTCTTTCATTTTAAGATTGAGTCTTTTTAAAAAAAGAATTGGAATAATCATATATTTACTTATTTCTCTTCTCTGATATATTTCTTTAGGAACTTCCCAGAGTCCTTCTGCTTCACGAGCTGTCTGAGCAGGAAGGTGCATGGACAATACTCCCACTGTTACCTCAGTACGTTTCCCTAGAAATGTATACATTTCTGACATTTCTTTCTGGACACCCATAAACTCCCTAGTTTTTGAATCAAGAAGGTGTATATTTTTTCTCAAGCCAGTAAGTGAAATAAGATTGAACGCCTCTTTTTATGACTACTACAGTAACCATATTTCTTGCTGATTGATTCCTAACCATGAATGGCTTGTATTTTTAAATGTGCTTCTTTCTTAAAAGGCAAAATATTTATGTATTTGATATTTATATTTGAAAATTATCTGTCTTATAAATTGGTGTCGTTATGGAGAGAGTTAACTTTAGAAGCCTACCTGTTGTATAAACCAGTAGTATCTAGCTTTCCTATAAGCTGAAACGCTACGTTAAAGAAAAATATAAGGAAAAAAATTATATTTCTTGCCATTTTATATGTCCTTCATCCATTTCCTGCTTTTTGATTTTAAACCTTGTTAAAAACTCCCTTTATAGAAGTGATTACTATAGCCTATTTCCTTTTGTCAGCTTTTCTGTAACATTTAGCAGAAATTCATCATGGATTTTCTTCTGTGAAGAAGAGACAAGAATACAAGTTCCAGAACTCTTAGAAATGCTCAGAAGATATGACCCCTCAAAGGTGAATTCAGTTTCAATACCAGTATATATCTTTTGGGGAAAATATTTGAAAGAAAATTTTGACTAAGAGGTTTTTAAACCTAATAAAACACTTACTTTAAAATGAAAAAGAGTGGAATGGTAGTTGAATATCTGGAAGCAGTGTTAAATAATTCTCTTTAAGTTTTTTAGCTTTCAGAGGGATGGAACTAACAGTAAGCTGCTTTTAAAGGAAAAGAAAAATCTACTTACATGTGCTAGCAATTTCAGAGTTAACAACTATAACCTAGGGTTAAGGAATGTTTAAATTGGTTATATCTCTTTATGAACATGGAGCACATATTGTTTTAGATAAGGAATATTTTTGAGTACTGCTGTGACAGCAGGGCAGACAGACAAGTTCCTGACCACGTGCATGGTGCAGGCCCGCAGGGAGACAGGAGACCATGACAGAAGCAGGCACAGGTACACGTGAGACCCCTTTTAGTAAAGGGAAATGTGGGCTGCTGTTGAAGCACAAAGCTGGGCATCAGGTTTAATCTGGGAGGGCCATGAGTGGAAGTGACATTTTATCTGAGTTGTGTAGGATAAGTAGGAGTTAATAGAGAAAGAGTGTGTTCTAAGCAGTCATACTTACAAAGGTCTGGAGGTGAGAAGGGATGCATCTTAACATTAGAAATTCACTGTTACTTCATGTTTCTAATTTCATTTTGTGCAGCCAGGTTGTAGCCATTGGATCTTGTTTACCTCTAATCTAGCATGAGCAGCGTGTTGAACACTCAGTATGGTCAATACACACTTGTGAAATACTGGATAATCCTATGATGTCAGCTTTCCTGCTGGGCTGTGTTCAGTGCCTCTGAAGGTTTAGAGGGCTAACTCAGAGACATGTCAAGAAAAAACCAGGCTGCTCATTCTCTTGGAGAAGCCCTGTCATGTTACAGAATTCTTTAAACTTGGAATTAACAGAATGGGCCCTTTCTGATATCTCTGGATGCTGGCCCCACCCATGTTCTGATGTGCACTCAGAACTGGGTCAGGTTTCTTGAGGACAACAGGAAGGAAAAGGGGCTTCTGACTTTTGGTTTGTTGATGTAGACACCAAAAGTTGGGTGACAGTGAACATTAGACTTCTCAGGCGCTGGAATGTTTGTTACTGTCATAAAACCACCATTTTCTATGTTTTTTAAATGCTCGAAAGATCCATTGTAATTTCCCTTCATGCTTTTGCTTTATGGGCAGATACAGATACAATTGAATAAGAAAGTTTTTTGGTTAAAAACGTAATTCCTTCAAAGGAGAGAAGAATTATGACCATGTCTCAAATGAGGCTAACCAGCATCAATGTACCTTTTGTCATGCTCTATGTAAAACATGTGTTAGGCTTTTATGTTTCCTTTTGACTAGGAAAAACCTCCCATATCTTTTTCAGGATGTAGGAGTTTCAGTCTCCTCCTAGTGTTCATTTCACCTGGAGATTATTTTCCCATTATCCATAGCTTTAATTCTGTTCAGGAAATGGTGACTCACTGTGCTTTTTAATGAAAATTGGAACAAATTCAAAAGTTCAAAGCAAGTTCATGAAAAGCAAGAACAGAGGCAAAATAAGATGTTCCCCTCTTTTCTGAACTCTACTGTAGGGGGGAAATCTAGGGTGCTTTATTTCTTTTGAAACTAGCATTTGGAATAAAAATTACACAATGTTGAGGTTAGCTCAAACCAGTGGGTTTTGCCCTACCATTTGAAATTTTAGGGAAAAAAGTACAAAGCAATCCTGGCTTGCATATTGATACAAATAAACTACACAAAAATAATATGATGGAATATGTTAGAGTATAAGTTATTTTGTTTGCTTTTGACTTTTTTCCCTTTAATATCTTCCTGTCATTCTTACTAATGCAAATTTATGCCGTCATACAATATTTTAAATGGAAAAATTTAATCTTTATTAAAATAATTAATCCATGTTAAATTGCCTTTCTAGGTGATTTTATATAAATTTCCATATCTTGATGAAGTCTTTTTTTCTCACTGCATGCTTTTAATGTGTGTGCTTTTGCTGACGTTTCTTGACTTTATTTTTTCATAATTTTTAATGGCTGTTTATAATTTCATTTTATAAATGTGCCACAGTTTCCACAAGCAATTCCTATTATTGAATGTTTAAGTTGGCATTTATATATTTAGTTCTGCTTTTTTATTTTAATGGAGGTGATACAGGGGGCCAGCAAGGAGTAATTCTAAGTTACTAACGGAACAATGTCCCAGTTATTTTTTTACAGTTTATCTGGATTATAATGGCCTTTATTAGGAAGCCATTAAGAAAACCATTAAGAAAGTTGGGGGGGGTGCCTCTTTTCACATATTCTATATTAGTCTTTCTAAGTAGTTTACAGTATAGTCCACTATAAAATATTTACTGACAATCTTATATACTAGGTAATAGCTGAACACTACCTGTAGGAGATACAACCTAAAAACATATTCTACATAAAATTCTGTTTGGAACAGGAGATTATAACAGTGAAAGATTAGTGAGGAAGAAGCTAAAATATACTGAAATGGTTATCTTTTAAAAAATAACCTATACAGACATGGTATGCTAAATGTGATGATTTTCATATTCATAATTGTTTAGTAATTTGATAAAGTGCTATATTATAGATTTTTTAAATGTTGAATTTTCTATCTCAAGCTGAGGCCATTTGTCCTGTAATTATTCCACTTGCCCAGTGATGACTTAATGTGTTTATAAACTATCAAGAAGAAAACCATCAGGTGGAGGAACTGTGATCCTAAATATACAAGCCATGTTGATGGCTTTCACACAGTTTATCTGTGACCTGTTGTTGAACGGACCGCAACTAAGATTCTGGGCGGTATCTGGAACACAACCACTGGCAGAAGGGGGCTCTTGAGAAATAGTACTGTATCTCTCCTGCTTTTATTTTCTGATAAAGAATAGGGAATGAGGTGGTAATGGTTGGAAAAGAGAGAGCATGTATAAAACTTTTAGAACTTAGGATACTTGATTTAAATGATATGCTTTGGTTTCTTTCATAGGGGGAGATACCTTTAAAAGCTGTCCTGGGCTTGCTCCATTCATTTAACCAGAAACTAGTGAGCACCTAGTACATGTTAGGTGTTCTGGGATATAGCAATGAGCAGAGTGGACAGCAGCCCTACCCACAAGCAGGGGATATTCTTGTTGCAGGGGAAATGAGCAATAAATAAAAATGCAAATAAGGTATCAGATGATCATTAGTGCTATGGAGAAAATAAAGCAGAGCAAGAGGGATAGGGATATACTGGGTTGGGGGGCGCGTGCGGTTACTATTCTATGTAGGGTCTTCAGGGAGCCCTTCACTGATCAGTCCACATTTGAGCAGAGCATGAAGAAATCAAAGTATTGAGCCATGTGCTTCCTACTCATATATCAAACTGCCTGCTTAATACCTCCACTTATCCATCTAATAGGAACCTCAAATTCAGCATGTTCAAAACTGAATTCCTGACCATTTAAACCTCTTCCATCTTCAGCCTCCTTCATCCTAGAAGTGGCATCACCATCTATCCAGTTGCTTATACAAAAACCTAGGGCCATGACTGATTCCTTTTTTTTCCCTCAACCCCATGTTGGCATGTCCAGTCGACTCTGCCTCCAAAATACACCTTTCATTCATCTTCTCTATCTGTTAAATACCACCAGTCAGGTCAAGGCAATCATCATGACTTGCCATGGCTGTTATTAGAGCCTCCCAGCTCATCTCCTGGTTTTTACTCTTGCCGTCCTAATAATCTAGCCCCTCTGTAATTCAGATGATAATCATTTGCCTGCTTGAAAACTTTCAGTGGTTTCCCATTGCCCCTGTGATAGTTTCACTAGCTAGAGCATTTTCAGTTTGTCGAAGTTGTCTTCTATCACTGTAAAGATGCTGTTCTCCTGTCTTTCATATTCTTTCTTTTTCTGTTGAAAAGTCTGCTATATGTCTTGTTTTGCTCCTTTGAAAGAAATGTGTATTCAATCCCCTCACCAACTACCTTTAAGATGTTCGCTGTATGTTTTTTCGGCCAACATATACCTATACCGATGTGTAGTTTTCTTTATATTTACCTTGATAGGAGTTTATATTTACCAAGAAGGAGTTTACCTTCTTGAATCTATGGCTTGACGACTTTTGTCAGTTTTAGAAGGTTCTAAGGCTCTATTTCAACAAAAATTGATTGTTTCATTCTCTTTCTCCTATTCTGGGTTTCCAATTTCATTTATTTTAGATGTTTTCACTGTGTTCTATATTGCTCTTATGTTCTTTTGTGTGTTTATTTTTTTTTCTTATGGTTTCTTTTTTGTGTATTAATCTGGATTTTTTTAAATTTATTTTTTTATTTTTGTCTCCATTTTCCTGCCACCACTTTCCCCTGCCCCACCCACCCCCACCTCCCATCCTCAATCCTAGCCCCCTTTGGCTTTGTCCATGGGTCTTTATACATGTTCCTTTACTTGACCCTTCCCCTTCTTTCCCCTGTTGCTCCCTTTCTCCTCCCCTCTGGATACAGCCAGTTTATTTTATTCTTTCAATGTTGCTGGTTATATTTTTCTTGCTTGTTTGTTCTGTTGGTTAAATTCCACTTATAGGTGAGATCATATGGTATTTCTCTTTTGCCACCAGGCTTATTTCACTTAGCATAATGCTCTCCAGTTCCATCCATTATGTTGCGAAGGGTAGGAGCTTCTTCTTTCTTTCTGCGGTGTAGTATTCCATTGTGCAAATGTACCATCGCTTTTTTGTTCAGTGAGTCACTAAATATATGTATGTATGTATGTATTTATTTTCAACTACGGTTGTCTCCATTTTCCAGCCACCACTCTCCCCTTCCCCATCCACCCCAAACTTCCACCCTCAATCTGTATCATAGTTTTTTGACCCACTTATTTACTGATGGGCACTTAGGTTGCTTCTAATACCTGGCTATTGTAAATTGTGCTGCTATGACCATTTGAGTAAATAGGTTCTTTTGAAT